CAGTATCACAACCAACCTCTAATACTGTAGGTTAAAAAGATACAACAGCCATTGTCCTTTTAACCCTCTCCAGGCAGCTGTTGCAGATTTGCAACAACTGCATTTCATTTCTTACACTTACTACTCCACATCCATATTTTTGAGGCAGTTTCAAGTCAATATCACAACCAACCTCTAATAATGTGAAACCAAAAATGCTTACAATGAAAGATTAATAAATATACATAGTGATACGGTACATTAGTAGATTATATCTCCATTTACCACAGTGGGCCAATGTTGCAAATCTACAACATCCCAGAATGCATTACCTGTGAAGGTCTCCCTAAAAAAAAATCCATAAAATAATTTCCCCCAAATATCAGATTTTTCCTGTCATTCAAAATAATTGGGCCCAACTGACCTGCCATAATAACACACTGACAACAGTGTACATTTAACACACACACACACATACTCACACACGCCATGGAAGCACCATCCGAGGAGCTGTCAGCACCAGGAGCAGAGAGCCGCCTGGAGGAGAGATGAAGCCAAGACTCTAAACTTCCGTCAGGTCCAGGAGCCAGACCCCCACAGCCCCCGCCCCGAGAAGGCTCCTCCAGAAGAAACGCTGGGGAAACTAAAACAAAACATAGGAATAAACATAGACAATACAATATTGAAATGACAGAGGACTACAGCACGATACATAACTGTTGCATCACACGTTACAGACAGTAGGTATGAGAAGCAGAAAGCACTAAAATCAAATCAAATACAATAAAATCTCTAACTCTAGCATAAAAAGAAGCAGTATAAAATCTCTATCTTTGGCATTAATAGGAAAGAAGTCTAAAATCTCCCACTTTAGCGTGATGCAGAAGCAAGACTTAAGTACAAAAACCCCTGTCTTTAGCTTATGTGAGATTTCACTTTGAAGCAACTTTTGTTAAAGTTAAACTCATCATTCTATCAATGTGCAGAAGCCAGTACTTTTCCACTTCTTGTTTTGTCTATCTGAAGGCCAAGCTACATGGCACTGTGGCAGCTGCTGATTGGAGGTCTCCATGCCTCCGCTCTGTATAATACACTTGCATTCTGTTGTTTGTGCTGTCTCTACCATCGACAATAAAACATGTCTTCTGTCTGAATGAAAGACGCGATCCCAGACTTTGTCATCGTCTTCACTTATAAATGGTAAATACTATTAAAATCTAGAATGTGTGTGTCGAAACATGGAGGCTCTCTGTGGCTCAGGACTCCTTTCGTTACAAGAACAATAGCTACATTTGTCTTTTGTCAAAGGCTGTTTGTTTATTGGGTATGTCATTGTAATCTCTCGTTCCTCATGCCTTCTCTTTGGGAGGTGATTTGTGATTTGAGTCTAAATGTCGTCACTTCATCAATGGAAATGTCAACTTTTCATTTTACAAACTTTTTTATTGGGGTGTTAAGCTGAAGTGAAGCTGTGCAGAGAACATTCCTTGCTCTGTGTGTGTGTGTGTGTGGTGTGTGTGGTGTGTGTGTGTGTGTGGTGTGTGGTGTGTGTGGTGTGTGTGTGTGGTGTGTGTGTGTGTGTGTGTGGTGTGTGTGTGTGTGTGTGTATGTGTGTGTGTGTGGTGTGTGTGTGTGTGTGTGTGTGTGGTGTGTGTGTGTGTGTGTGTGTATGTGTGTGTGTGTGGTGTGTGTGTGTGTGTGTGTGTGTGTGTGGGGTGTGTGTGTGTGTGTGTGTGTGTGTGTGTGTGTGTGTGTGTGTGTGTGTGTGTGTGTGTGTGTGTGTGTGTGTGTGTGTGTGTGTGTGTGTGGTGTGTGTGTGTGTGTGTGTGTGTGTGTGTGTGTGTGTGTGTGTGTGTGTGTGTGTGTGTGTGTGTGTGTGTGTGTGTGTGTGTGTGGTGTGTGTGTGTGTGTGTGTGTGTGTGTGTGTGTGTGTGTGTGTGTGTGTGTGTGTGTGTGTGTGTGTGTGTGTGTGTGTGTGTGTGTGTGTGTGTGTGTGTGTGTGTGTGTGTGTGTGTGTGTGTGTGTGTGTGTGTGTGTGTGTGTGTGTGTGTGTGTGTGTGTGTGTGTGTGTGTGTGTGTGTGTGTGTGTGTGTGTGTGTGTGTGTGTGTGTGTGTGTGTGTGTGTGTGTGTGTGTGTGTGTGTGTGTGTGTGTGTGTGTGTGTGTGTGTGTGTGTGTGTGTGTGTGTGTGTGTGTGTGTGTGTGGTGTGTGTGTGTGTGTGTGTGTATGTGTGTGTGTGTGTGTGTGTGTGTGTGTGTGGTGCCTCTCTGACCTGTAGTTGTTAACCTTCATAATAAGCCACACACATGTCTTATGGCCTGTATAAGCACTTACAGTACTTACAGTACAATGTCACTATTTTTTATGAAGGTCCTGGATTCGATTCCACCTCCAGACCTTTCTGTGTGAAATTTGCATGTTCTTCCCGTGTCTGTGTAGGATTCCTCCGGATGCTCCAGTTTCCCCTACCACTATAAGTACGCGCAATAATTAGGCAGTGCACTTTTCTCGTCATTGTCGTTTGTAAAGTACATTAAGTTGCAGCCATGTCAAACAGTACATTTGAAATAATATTCTCAAAAAGTTGTGTAATTGTATTTGTATGGCATTAAAACTACTTGGTAAAGGGCATATTGTAAACCATTCAAATATGTTCTAATGGCATCTGTTTTTGCAAATTAACTTTTTGTTTCTTGAAGTAAATAATACATTATCTCAATTCGCCTTTTAAACAGCTGATTTGGAGACCTGTTTTATGTACCCCCACCGGTGCTCTGTCTGTAAATGAAGTTCCTCACGGATTAATAAAGAGATTTGAATTGAATTGAATAAACATAAAACACGGGCGGCACGGTGGCTGAGTGGATAGCACTCTCGCCCCTCAGCAAGAAGGTCCTGGGTTCGAATCCCGGTCGGACCAGGGCCTTTCTGAGTGGAGTTTGCATGTTCTCCCCGTGTCTGCGTAGGTTTCCTCCGGGTGCTCCGGTTTCCCCTACCACTAAAAATATGTCCAATAGTTCTAACATGCGCCTCGTGTACTGGCCCCGCTCCCATCTCTGTGTGGAGTGAGAGACAAATGCCCAAAATTAACAATTGTAAACCGCTTTGAGACTCAGATCTGCAGTGAAAAGGCGGTATATAAATAAAAAAACTTACTTACTTACTTACATTATCTGGTACTATGCAAATCATAATACCAGATGATACCATTATTCTTTGGGCATATACAATTGATATTTATATTGTTTGATTCATTTACTGGATTCCTGTGGGCTGAATGTCAGTTACAGTGGAGCAGGTTTGTTTGTTTTCCTCAGACACAGCACTCAGTTACGCCCTCTCATGGAACTAAATAAAACAACAGATGATTATTTTCATTTCATTTCATTTATTTTATTTATTTGAATTAGGACAGTGCACATTAATCAACACGTCAGCCAAAAGCATCAATGTAAATGTACCAGAATTAGCGTGAGAGCTAAATTGCATCCGTTGTCCTAAGGCAGGAAAAGAAACATTTTACATCTACAGTGCACCATTGACGATAATTGTAAATATTCTAAACAATGTATATAATTTGTATACAACACAATGTTATGAATCTGTGAAATTACTTGGTTAAAAGTAGCTATGGACTGGTCTCCTGGGCTCGTATGTGTTTGATTCTCTGATCTATGGTTGAGGAACTGACAATTTTGTAACGTCCTCCAAGATTACTGCTGTGTGGATTTAGAGCTTTACAAAAATACATTGAATTAAATACATAGTTCCCACATGACGTCACTACATACGGGGATTTGCCGACCCGGCGCCATTTGTCTTGGCATTCTGTGGGCAAAACAATAGAAAAAGAAGCTGAAACGTGTTAATGTCGTGATAAAGTTGAAAATGGTCATCTCCTGCTGGGTCAATGGATGTTCTAATCGTGCCGGAGGTTCCGTTAAACTTGGATTTTACAGTATACCCATCATTAGACTTCATGAATGTGAGAAGACTAAGCTTTTGTCAGAACAACCACGGAGGTTATGGCTTGCGAAGATAAACAGGCAAGAAACTCCCTCAAAACACGCAAGAATATGCTCGGAGCACTTTGTGTCAGGTGCGTATCGTATCTTATGTGTTGACAGACGTAATTTACTCAGTACTAACTTGTGTATGCTGATAGCTGGTAACTTGAGAGTTTCATTATTTAGATTACTTTATTATGAGGAGGATCGGTGTCGCGTCCGAGGCTCTCGAGGGCAACGTAAATGTATTAAATAGATAATAATAGTTCTATGGTGGGCTAAAACAATGTTCACAAACAGCATTGCTTCTGTAAAAAGATCTGTGTCATAAAATAAACTGCTCTTTACGCCTGGAAAAATCAGTTGCCCACCATTCACCAAAACATACGGTCAAAAACGCGGAAATAAACAATAACAGCAATCCAGAGTGTCCGTGTGGCATTAGCATTAATTAAATTAATTGTTAATATAATTAAAATAATTAAATGGAGCTCCAACTGGTATTAAATCTAAAGTTTTTGAGAAATGTTTGCATTGCTTGATAATTTTTGCTGCATAATTTGATCAAATATGTAAAACATGTCCGTAGCACGTTAAACTGTGGTGCCATTGTATTAATATACAATTATTTGCTCAAAAGTTGCCCTTTTTTTCCAATTTGCGTTTGAATATCTACATTTATTCTCATTCTTCTGTTTAATGGAATGCACAAACACAGCAGCGTGCCATCAAAGATGGCGTCTCCGAGGAGGTCATGTGACATTCATTGGTCTGTGGGAACTATGTATACATTATTGAACTAAACTAAAAGGTCGGAGCCCCATGGTCGGAGCAGTCTCTGATTGGTCCGTTGCTCTGTCGCATTGCTGATGACGTCCCGTTGCTTCCCTGAACTACACGTGTGTGAGGCGCAGCTCGGAGCAGATGGGAAAAGAAGCAAAATAACTCAAGCTTTCGCGTCTTGCATGTTCAGAGTTTGACGTCTTATTGGACCGTAACCACCCAACAGCAAACATGGTGAAACCCAAGTACAAGGGGAAGATGTCGATAAACCCCTCCGCCTCCAGCAGTAACCCCGGTGAGCTAACGTTAGCTTTAGCATCATGTTTGTTTACAGCTCTGATAAACCTTTACACTGTTGGGAAGATTACTTTGAAAATGTTCTGTTCCTGAATCCTGAATACATAGCCTAACATGTATTTTGTTTAGTATTCTGTTACGTTGGTAAAAGTAGTAGTAGCCCTGTATTCTGAATACTTGGAATATTTTTTTTGTATTATTTGTTTTTATTGTAAATTCATGTTTATTTATAAAACGTATTGAGGTAAATTTCAAAAATATGAATCCACAACCTTAATGAATGTTAAGATGAGCAAAACCTGTTATTTATTTGATAATTTGTTATTTTAGGTAAATCAAGTCAAAGTGCTTCAACATCTGTATTTAACAACCAGAACATTTAGAATCTTCACTTCAAAAATACCCAATGTTTTCTTTTTTAAAATCTTAGTTTAATGTGAGAAAGTATGTATTCCTGTGATTTTTCAGAAAGTAACTACTCCAAATTCTATACTTTAAAGTGGCACGGTGGCTGAGTGGATAGCACTCTCGCCTCTCAGCAAGAAGGTCCTGGGTTCGAATCCCGGTCGGACCAGGGCCTTTCTGAGTGGAGTTTGCATTTTCTCCCCGTGTCTGCGTAGGTTTCCTCGGGGTGCTCCGGTTTCCCCTACCACTAAAAATATGTCCAATAGTTCTGGCATGTGCCTCCTGTACTGGCGACCCCGCTCCCATCTCTGTGTGGAGTGAGAGACAAATGCCCAAAATTAACAATTGTAAACCGCTTTGAGACTCAGATCTGCAGTGAAAAGGCGGTATATAAATAAAAACTTACTTACTTACTAAAGTAGATAGATACTTTTATTGAGCCCCCGTAGGAGAAACTCAGGTGTCCAGCAGTATCAATTGCAAACATTTCTAACTAACTACCAACAAGCGTGCATATTTTGAACTCATACAGGTTTGTTGTACAGTCTGACAGCCGAAGGAACAAAGGCTCTCTTAAAACGTTCTGTTCGTTAGGGCAGTGATAAAACCCCGTTGTTATGGTTACTCAGGGTGTCTGTCACTGTAATCTAAGCACTAAACTTTTAAGTAGTAACTGTAACTTTATACACATTATGCATTCCGTTACTTCTCAACACCGTCTCTTACCATAAAATACCTCTGCGGCACGGTGGCTGAGTGGATAGCACTCTCGCCTCTCAGCAAGAAGGTCCTGGGTTCGAATCCCGGTCGGACCAGGGCCTTTCTGAGTGGAGTTTGTATGTTCTCCCCGTGTCTGCGTAGGTTTCCTCCGGGTACTCCGGTTTCCCCTACCACTAAAAATATGTCCAATAGTTCTGGCATGTGCCTCCTGTTTGGCGACCCTGCTCCCATCTCTGTGTGGAGTGAGAGACAAATGCCCAAAAATTAACAATTGTAAACCGCTTTGAGACTCAGATCTGCAATGAAAAGGCGGTATATAAATAAAGATTACTTACTAACTACTACTACTACTGCATGAAGTAGGCATTAACTACTACTACATGAAGTAGACATTAACTACTACTACTACTGCATGAAGTAGACATTAACTACTACTACTACTGCATGAGGTAGACATTAACTACTACTACTACTACTACTACTGCATGAAGTAGACATTAACTACTACTACTGCATGAAGTAGACATTAACTACTACTACTACTGCATGAAGTAGACATTAACTACTACTACTACTGCATGAGGTAGACATTAACTACTACTACTACTACTACTACTGCATGAAGTAGACATTAACTACTACTACTACTGCATGAAGTAGACATTGACTACTACTACTACTACATGAGGTAGACATTAACTACTACTACTACTGCATGAGGTAGACATTAACTACTACTACTACTACTACTACTGCATGAAGTAGACATTAACTACTACTACTACTGCATGAAGTAGACATTGACTACTACTACTACTACATGAGGTAGACATTAACTACTACTACTACTACATGAGGTAGACATTAACTACTACTACATACATATATAAATAAATACTTACTTACTTACTTACATTATTTTCAGATCGGGCTAAAGGCTCTGAAGGCAGCCACATGAGGGACAGAGCCACGATCAGGCGTCTGAATATGTACAGACAGAAGAAGAGATGGTGAGTTTTACAAAGAGCTATAGACGCACTGTTTATTTACAGATTTATGGATTTGTTTGTTGTTTTCTACTAGTGACAAAAATGGGAAAGTCATCCGGCCTCTGCAGTTCCAGTCCACAGTCGCTCCAGGAACAGTGGCCAGAGTGGAACCCAACATCAAGTGGTTCAGTGAGTAACACAACAACAACATAAGGCTTGTCATCTCCGCTGTGTTTAAGCATAGACTGGCGGCACAGTGGGAAATTTCAGTGTTGCATCGCTGGTTACAGAGCAGTATGAATGAGGAGCACGCAGCACAAGATAAAAGAACATTAACGCATTACACTAAATAAAATAAAATCTCTAACTTAAGCATAATGAAGAGGGAAGACTAAGTACTAAATGGAGTGACATGGTGGCTGAGTGGTTAGCCCTCTCGCTTCTCAGCAAAAAGGTCCTGGGTTCGAAGCCAGGTCGGAACAGGTCCTTTCTGAGTGGAGTTTGCACGTTCTCCCCGTGTCTGTGTAGATTTCCTCCAGGTGCTCCGGTTTCCCCTACCACTAAAAACATGCACGACAGGTCTGACTGCAATGAGTGAGTGAATGGAGGGTGTTGGGTCGGAGGCTTTGATGGTCCAGTGTGTTACTTATTTACTTTATGTTTGTAGCTCATACATTGTTACCACTTTTACTGCAGCAAATACACGTGTAATAAAGCAGTCGTCGCTTCAGAAGTTTCAAGACGAAATGGGAGCGATTCAGAAGAACCCTTATCGAGTCGTGATGAGACAGAGCAGGCTTCCCATGTCCCTCCTGCACGACCGAGTCAAAGCTCACGTGAGTTTCCCTTTCTATGTTATTTTTAGAATGCTGAAAAAATGTGCTTGTTAGGGTAACCTTTGCTGTTTATATTTGGCTCACTCCAAACTAAACTGTATCAATGTGTTACATGTGGGTCAATGAAATGACATGAAAAAGTCCAGAAATGTCCGCGGCCGTTTCTTCTGAATGTTCAGACTCTTGTTTTGTCCCCAGCTTGTTTGTCCAGTGAAGGGGGCTCTACTTAAACACAGATTTGTTCACGCCAGTATTATTAACAGCGCTCCAAGACGCCGTTTTGGACGTAACAAAAGTGGACGCAATTGTTACGTCCAAAACGCCTTGTTTGTCCGCAGTTATTGAATAATTTTTTTCCATAATGTAAAATCTATAAATACATATTGATTATTGTTATATCCAATCATTAACCATTAAATGGTCTTCTCTGTCCTGTTCTGTCCTGTTCTTCCGTTCACAAAGCCTTCACATGTCCTAAATGTGACAATTGTGTCCCCAAAGTTCAATACATTTTTTTTTTTTTAAAGGCATCCATTTTTCTTGAAATAGTTTTAGCTGCCCTTCTGAGATTAAACCTTGTAAATATCTATAGGCTAGTATGAATTTTTTTTTAGGTACAAACACTTTTAGTTCATACATTTTTTTTATTGTCGCTTTAAGTTGGATCAAGCAATGGTTCAGTTTAGTGTGGAGTGAGCCATATATACATTTTTTGCTCTCAGATGTCTGCATGTACCCTTCAATTAGGATAGAAGTCAGGAATCAATCCCAGGGACTCAGGATCTCATTAATTAATGCTATTATATTCCAACGTTTATATTAACTACACCTGTGGTCTGATGCAGAATTCCCGGGTGCATATCTTGGACACCGAAGGTTTTGAGACGACGTTTGGGCCCAAAGCTCAGAGGAAGAGGCCGAGTCTGACGGTGGATGATGTGAAAAACCTGGTGGAGAAGGCGGAGTCTTCAGCTCTGGGCTACAACGCCGACAACGACAAAGACCTGGTCACGGAGGACTCGGGGGTTCGGTGAGCGCCAAGCCACGTTTATACACGTCTGTGATGTTTGGGGATGGTGTTGATACTGAAAACGTTACAGGGATGAAGTACGAGAGGAGATCTTCAAGAAGGGACAGTCCAAACGCATCTGGGGAGAATTGTATAAGGTAATTTATTATGATTTATAATGATTTTTTTCTGTTTGTTTTATTTATTTATTTCAGCCATTCCCAAACTCAAACACCGAGGCCCCCTTAAAAATCTGACGGGTCTGCGTGGCCCCCCAAAATAATAACCAAGAAGACAACATTAAGAATAGGCTCTTCTGGTTATTTTATTTTGGGGAAATAGCCTCTGCTACAAACATTGTAATACAAAAATGATTACAGTGGATTATTCAAGTCAAATAATGAACACAAATATTTTAATATTACAAACAAAACATTATAAATTTAACATTAAATAATTCTATTATTTTTTTATTTTTTTTTATGACCTCCCCCTGCAGTACCCTCGGGCCGCGGACCCCACTTTGGGAGACACTGATTTATTTGATAGGGACAAGTGTTATACAATCAACATGTGAAACGCTACAACATTTTACATTATAGTATTAGCATTATACAAAAGCAGGTGTTCTCCAACAGTAGCTCAGTTGGTAGAGCATTGGCCTTAAGCCCAGAAGGTCGTGGGTTCAATTCCCACCTCTGCACCTTCTCCACCGACTTCCACTGATGACTGCTGTCGTTGTGTCCTTGGGCAAGACACTTAACCCCACTTTGCCCAAAAGCTCCCACTGAAAGATCAAGGCTATGCTCACACTCAGAGAGCAGCCGTCCTCCTGTGGACTCACCACCTGCAGAGGGTCAGTGAGAGGCTGGTGCTATGAGACCAGCCCCTGACCCAGAAATGGATTAAAGGGTAGAAAATGGATGGATGGATGGAGGTGTTCTCCAACTCATGAATTTTCAAAAGTTGCTTCAGTTTGTGTTTTTAAAACCAGCCCAGTTCAGTTTTAGTTCAGGGCTCAAAGATTATTTCACTTTCAGACATGACGATCCTATTTTACAATGACATTTCAAATCATTTTTCCGTCACACAAATGAAAAGGAGCGGAAAGAAGAAAATAACCTCATGTTGCCGGCCCCCAGCCTGGTCTTATCCATCCGTACTCTCCGCTCAATCATCATCTCCTGCATGTAACGTCTGGGTCTGGTCCCTGTGTTCGTGATTACAATCGGTTGAAGTCCATCCGACCAATCGGAGAGCGCGGGAGGCGGGTGTTGTAGTTAGATGTGGGTGACGTCAAGAGTTTGTATTTTGGCGAAGAATGCGATAGTAAAGTATTCCGGTCTGGTTCTATCAAGAAACTGAAGCCGGAGCAAGAGGAATGTTTAGCAAAAGTCATCGCTGCAAAGATTGTGGCGCTGCTCCCCACGGGCTCCGTTAGCGGGAAAGGAGATGGCTAAAGCTAGGCTAAATGCTAACAACTCACTCGGGCTCATTACATACGTCACGCACCACCTGGGAACGGAGCTCAATGGAACGCCTCCAGACCTTAGTGCGAAATGTAATTTGTAATTTGACCAGGCTAACCTTGCCCTTTCTTAAAAATGCAAAATGTAAATGAAATCCTATTGAAGATGGACTTCAGCGCTGCTTTTTCAAACTTTATTTATTATTATTATTGTCATCTGAAACTAATGAGCCATTTTTTCTACCGGAATTCCTTATGTCCTTACTTTGCATGAAAAAGAAATGTATTTTTTAGGGCCGGGACTTTTAACGTGTTAATTAAGATGAATTAATTACACAAGAATTGGCGCGTAAAAAAAATTGGCGCATTTTAATCGCCATGTCCCTTTTTTGCACCGCGGAACGTTTCTCACTGGATGGGTTTCAGACGGGCCGATTGTACTGGAGCGCTGTGCTACTTCCAGGCTTGTTCTCTGCAAATCTGACCTGTCTCCGATCCTCTCAATGACAGAAGTGACTCAGAGAAACACTGTTCTCACTGCTGTCTCTGTGCAAAGGGTCTGAAGTCTGTGTTTGGTGCGGTACTACACTCACACACTGCTGCACTGGTTCAGGGCACAGTCAACATGAACCAAGACGCTGATGGTTTCTAAATATGGTATTGCACTTAATGCCAAAAATTGCACTGGTCTGTTGGACTTGACAAAAATAAACAATATTTTTGTTGCTTAAGCTTAATGTATTCAATCATTATTCAATGTTAAAAATCCATGTGAACTTCTCACAGTTCTCAGGTCTAATAACTGCGATTAAAATGTGATTAATTGCGATTAATTAATTACAAAACCTCTAATTAGATAATTTTTTTTGATCGAGTCCCAGGCCTAGTATTTTTGTATAGCCCTAAATCACAACAGCAGTCGTTTTGGAGGATTTCACAACGTTCTCGATTTCTCAAGAGTTCTGACGCAGTGGGAAAAAGTAAAAGAAAAAGCCACAAAAACCAACCTGGAGTAAACGTGAACCGGGGGCGTTCCGTTTTATCTCTCTTTGCCGACCGGCGTAAATGTTATCATGGCTCAACCTCAGATACTTTGGCGTGGACTTCCTCTGGATTAGTGCAGAATGAAGAGGAGTTCTGCTTTGTTTTTTGTTAAGAAAGCCCAGGGTCAAGTCGGTGGACATATGAAATAGGGTTGGCCGATATTTTTTTTGTACCGGTATAAGTAAATTAAATGATAATAAAATGCCTTATACCGGTGAAAACGATCATTTAACACTTGGTCTCGGTCTCGGTCTCTGTCTCTGTCTCTGTCTCTGTCTCTGTCTCGGTCTCGGTCTCGGTCTCGGTCTCTCTCAGTGCCATTGGTAAGCTTTATTGCCTGCAATTTTCAGTATGTACAAAACAGAATTCTCTACAATTCAGTTTTGTTAATACGTTTTATATACAATAGCTGTATTACACATTTTGCTGCCAATAAATCAGTAAATGCACTTTGAGGCAAGTGTGTTTAAAATTATCAGTGCTAAGTTTTTATAGCTTTTATATGAGGCTTTGTTAAAATTATCATATCGTGATACATGCTGAGGCCCATATCGCCCAACCCTAATATGAAAGCAATTTTAGCGAAAGCGGCGTGCCAACATCCAAATCTATTTTTGTGATTCATTTTGGAAACCGCGGCGGAAGATGTATTGCCAAGGTTTTAGTTTTTTATTGTAAACACAGAGTGGCAGAAATGGTAAACATGCCACACAACTGTGACCCGTGTCAAAGTGAAATGTTTTTTTTTTCTCAATTGTTTTCTCTCTCAGGTTGTGGATTCGTCTGATGTCGTGATCCAAGTCCTGGATGCCCGCGACCCCATGGGCACCCGCTCCAAGAACATCGAGAATTATCTGAAGAAGGAGAAATCCTGGAAGCATTTGATTTTTGTGCTCAATAAATGCGACCTCATTCCCGCCTGGGTGACGGTAGGAAACACTCATAGAACTCATGGAAGGTCCTGGGTTCGAATCCCAGTTGGAACAGGGCCTTTCTGAGTGGAGTTTGCATGTTCTCCCCGTGTCTGCACAGGTTTCCTCTGGGTCCCCTACCACTAAAAACATGTACAATAGGCCTCCTGTACTGGCCCTGCTCCCAAATGCCCACAATTGTAAACCGCTTTCGCTTTTGGGGCTCTATATAAATAAATATGACTTAATTACTAACACTACAACTTTCTTTTTAAACTGTTTTTTTTTTCACCAATAAGACACTGTCAATTTTAATGCTTGCTTTTGTCTGATTTTGTAGAAACGATGGGTCGCTCTTCTGTCCCAGGAATATCCCACTTTGGCTTTTCATGCCAGTCTCACCAACTCTTTCGGTAAAGGCTCCCTCATCCAGTTGCTCCGGCAGTTTGGAAAGGTAACTCTCTCCCGGGGATCCATTTCTTGAATGTTAAAGATCAGATTCAGAATAAGCACAATATTAGATTTGAGTTGTGTGGATAATCTAATTGGAGAGATAGATTTGGCCGTGCGTGAACTGACGACAAGCCTGTTTACGTTCTGCCTCCCACAGCTGCACACGGACAAGAAACAGATAAGTGTGGGTTTCATTGGCTACCCCAATGTGGGAAAGAGCTCCGTCATCAACACGCTGCGGTCAAAGAAGGTCTGCAACGTGGCCCCGCTCGCCGGAGAGACCAAGGTACTGGCCCCGAAAAACGCACACAGAGCAAAGAATGTGAGAAGTGTTACTGTTTGGATGAAGACTTGGGCAGCGATGTCCAGAACACGGTCATGAGGGCGAGAACAGTAAACTCTTGAACTACTGTGTTCTTTCCAAAGCTGAGAGTTTGGACCAAGCAGGAGAATCTGATGGGCTGAAGTCCAGGCCTCCTCCTATTCTCACTCTCTGATGGTCAGCAAGAACGGCTTGGCTTGGTTTTTACATCTGTAGGAAAATGCAGAAAATGATTGAAAAGAGCTTTAAGATGGATGAGTGGATGGATACTAAAATATAAAGTATTATAATCTGTAAAAGTATGTTATAATCTGTAATTGTATCTTTTGTCCAGGAGTCCCTTGAAAAAGAGGTTCTTAATCTCAATGGGACTTCCCTGGTTAAATGAAGGTTACATAAAAATACTCTATTGATCTCTGTAGGATAAATTCAGTGTCCAAAAGCAGCAGAAACACATTAAAAAAACATGATTCTAAAAGTAGCAGACAATAGTAATGTTCAATACTTTTAGAATAATGTTGCTCATTAAATCTTATGTGTTTTTCACTTTTTGCCAACTCTCAGTTTATTCCACAGCATGTGTTTTAGACTGCGGCCTGTCTTTCAGTTGTTTTCAGAAACACATAGAAACACAGTGGGACAGTGGCTCAGTTGGCTCAGAATTGTTCATAATGTATTATTGATTATACTTTGTGCACGCGTCATGAATATGTGATGATAAATAATCCCTGTTGATATAATAACTAAACCAATATGTTTTCCCTGGACCGCTTAAAGCTGCACTAACTGACTTTATTTTTGTATTAATTACGAAAATGCTATCCATGTCCATGTAGTGCATTGGGATATACGTCCTTTTGAAGAAAAAGTAGTGCAGATTTGTGCTGGCCTGACATTATATTTTAGATCGAGTTTTGATGAAACAAGGAAGAGAATGTGTTTCGGGTCGCAGATTGTGACCAATCACAGCGCACCACTAGCCCCCACTTTCGTGAGAAATCTACAGGTCCGTTAGCATAGACGGCTGAGTTAGCACAACAAGCCGAGGAGCTAACCTGAAGCTTCCTCGTCTTCATCACCGGTTACTGCTTACACAGCGAGACAGCCATCCAAAAGAAAGTCTCGTTCCTCTGCGCTTCCCGGTTCTATCGTTCTATGGTCACGCCATCCACGTGCAAATCCATATCCATGGTTTATCCATATTGGGAGACGCAGCTCCGTCAACAACAGTGGGTGTGTGTGGGGGGCGATAGCTTCGTGGGTGCGGGGAGGGGAGCAGAAAGAGCGAGGCCAGCGGGTCTGCGGCTTCAAAATCCCAAAGTCAGTTAGTGCAGCTTTAAAAGAACAGGCCCCGTGTTTACATACTGACACATGTTCTTACCTTAGACTAGTTGATATGTACCTGTCTGGTCTTTGCCGTGCGCTCTGTCATGCAAATGGAGCACAAACTCAGCCTCTTCCACAGACTGTATAGTACCAAATCAGCTCCCGTTAGAAGCTACCAAACTCTTCCACGTTTTCCCTATTTAAATACAGTTGTGTGACGTGTTACACTACAAAGTATAGTAACACAGAAATGTAACATGTCGAAGAGTTTGGTAGCTTCTAACAGGAGCTGATTTGGAACTACAGTCTGTGGAAGAGGCTGAGTTTGTGCTCCGTTTGCATGACAGAGCGCACGGCAAAGACCAGACAGGTACATATCAACTAGTCTAAAGCCTGGTTCACACGAGACGATTTTAAAATTGTCGGCCGATTTTTCTCTGTGTGAGACCCCACACAGGGAGATAAAAAATCACGGGTCTAACCACTTTGGTCGTACAGTGTGTGGTGCGTAGCCACACGGCAAAAATCACGCAAACCACACACGAACCGATTCCCCCCCCCCCCCCCCCCCCCGAGTATTCACAGATCAGACGGAAATCTCAGGTCTCGCGAGATCAAGCGTGACTTCAGAGTAAACACACATGGCGGACGAAGAGGATGCATTGGCGATAGTTTGTTTTTATCTGAGAAAATACGTAATCAAAAGAAAAGGCGATGGTCAAAGAAGTGTAGACAACACGAGCATGGACTATACTTACTACATCGTGATATGGAGGCGTTTCCTCACCGCCTCGTCTCGTCTTCTGATTGGCTACACGCCGCAGTCATGGCAACGCGCACGTCTGTCCTCGGGGGACACCGCACACGAAGAGAAATCGGGCCAAAACAATCCAACATGTTGGATATCCCCGATTTGAGATCGGGAGCAGTCCCGATTTCCTTCCGAGCGACGAGTGCAGTCTTAACACACCACACACGGCAGGATAATCTGTAAGATTTTGTTACGGAAATCGGAGCGTTTCTTAAGATTGTCGTAAGGGGTAAATCGGGTCTAAATCGGCCTAAATATCCTGCCGTGTGAACCAGGCTTTAGATAAGAACATGTGTCAGTATGTAAACACGGTGGCCTGTTCCTTTAAAGGAGTAGCTCTCTGTATTTTTCGTCTTGGGGAAAGTAGCTCTCTGTATTTTTCGTCTTGGGGAAAGTAGCTCTCTGGGTGAAAACATTTGGAGACGCCTGGTTTAAAGGGACAAATGCAATCGATGATGTCCACTTAGAAAAGAGGCCGTGGTATTAAAGTCTGGTCTGAAATATAAGTGGCCTTAAAACAGTTGGACATCACTGCTCTCCAACATGAAATGCATTATTTATTGTATTTTGGTTTGTATGTTTTCTCTCCTCAATTACAGAGAAAAGTAACTGTTTGTGTGTCTCAGGTCTGGCAGTACATCACACTAATGCGGCGGATCTTCCTCATCGACTGTCCCGGAGTCGTGTATCCCTCAGACGACAGCGAGACAGACATTGTGCTGAAAGGAGTGGTAAGATTATGTCGTTAATTCAACCCATTCAAACGAATAAACACAGAAATAAATACACACTAAGTCCATTTTACCAACCAGTTTAGAAAGCTATGGTGGCTGGGATTGAATATTTAAAATGATAGATTTTTATGTCTTTATTTTTAAATCTTGCGTATTATTTTATTTCTGTGTTTTATAAATGTGAAGCTCTTTGTGTCTGTGAAAGGCGCTATAAAAATAACCTTGACTTGCTTAGGGGTTGTTTTACCATATGCTGTTCTGCAGATGACGTTATCGTGCAAAGTTTTTAAACAATTTGCCGTTAACTAAAAGCCGACCGTTCCCACTGTCAAACTTTAAACCTTTTGTGCAAAAATCAATCAATTCGAACAAGACTTGTGGATGTTTTGAGTGGAAGTTTGGGGAACTGTGAGGCTCTCTGTGAAACTGACTTAAAATAGTGCGAATGACTGCAAAGGATTTAACTTTTGCTTAAGGTAAGTTCTTTGCTGGCTGCGTTTCACTAAATCCACATTCTCTTCTGCAATTCATTTTTATGGTGTCTGGCCCAGCCTCATCTCGTCCTCTCCAATCCATTTGGAGCAGATGTGTCAATGCCTCCTCCGTTTAGATCCGTGAGTCCATATTGGTCCCACTAGGGCTGGGCGATAAATCAATTTGAATTATTAAGTCGAAGATGATTGAGTTTTTTTCGAACTTTTTCTCCAGCGCGGAGCTACAGTGCTAACACGCTAACCGCGGGTGTTGAGTAATTTTGAAAGCTCCCTGATGCCAACAGTCTCCCTCTGTCCTGACCCTGTCACAGTGTGGTGCTGTTGAAATCAGACTCTTATTTAATCGCCACAACACACCAACACTTACTTGTATCTTCCCTGGCTCCGGTCGCCAAAGCACACATGTGTTCCAATGAGCCTCTGCACTTTGGGGAAAGATTCGTCTCACACATTGCTCTGATACAAACAACGCGATCCATGCTCGAGCTGTTAGCTACAGTCACAGAATGTAAACAGGAAGAGAAACGGAAACTTAACTCAACCCCAGAGGTAATCGCTGAAGTTAAGCTGGACCGAGCGTTGTACTACGTGCTGAAGGATGGTTTTGTTACAGACTTTGTCATAACATTTGTATTTAGAGAAATCGTTAGTTTTAAAAAAATGATATTTTATCTAAATAATGCATGTGTTTAAGATAAGATAAGATGTGCTTTATTTATCTCACAGAGGAGAAATGTACATGTCACATTTGGCATGGATAGAGACACTCAGATTGTGCAAAAGGAGGAAATGTGCAAACTTGTTACATGCAGGATATATGTACAATAAAGTGACAATAATTATGTACAACAAAAGTGACAAGTGTCGATTGGAAACAGTGTCAATAGTAGTGCAGGTTTTCACACAGTGATCATTTAAAGTGACTTATTGTACAGTCTGACAGCGGTGGGGATAAAGGCCCTGTGGTAGCGCTCCTTCCTACACTGAGGGTGTCTCAGTCTTCCACTGAAGGAGCTCCTCAGCTCCTCCTCAGTCCTGTGCAGTGGGAGGTATTGTTCATGATGGAGGTGGCTTTGGCTAGCACCCTCCTGTCCCTCACCTCCTCCACAGAGTCCAGGGGCCTCCTGTCCCTCACCTCCTCCACAGAGTCCAGGGGCCTCCTGTCCCTCACCTCCTCCACAGAGTCCAGGGGCCTCCTGTCCCTCACCTCCTCCACAGAGTCCAGGGGCCTCCTGTCCCTCACCTCCTCCACAGAGTCCAGGGGCCTCCTGTCCCTCACCTCCTCCACAGAGTCCGGGGGCCTCCTGTCCCTCACCTCCTCCACAGAGTCCAGGGGCCTCCTGTCCCTCACCTCCTCCACAGAGTCCGGGGGACAGCCCAGAGTGGAGCTGGCCCTCCTGACCAGCTTGTTCAGTCTGTTTCTGTCCCGCTCTGTGCTGCCCGGGGCCCAGCACACGGCAGCGTAGTAAATGGCAGAAGCTACCACAGAGTCATAAAAAGTCCTGAGCAGAGGCCTGCTCACTCCGAAGGACCTCAGCCTCCTCAGAAGGGAAGAGGCGACTTTGGCCCTTCTTGTGCAGGGCGTTTGTATTATGGACCAGTCCAGTTTATTGTTAATGTGAACACCCAGGTACTTGAAGCTGTCCACCAGCTCAATGTCCTCCCCCTGGATGTTCAGCAGCGTGTGGGAAAGTGGTTTTCTCCTGAAGTCGATGATCATCTCCTTGGTCTTACTGGTGTTCAAGCACAAGTGGTTGCACTCACACCAGTCGACAAAGTCCTTGATAACCGACCGATATTCCAGTTCCAGAATCAAACCGGTTGAAGTGCTGGTTAAATTCATCCGCCCGGTGCTGGTCTCCATCCGCTGTTCCTCTGGCACTCTGTCCAAAGCCGGAGATGTTCTTTAGGCCTCTCCACAGATCGCGGGCGTTTCCCTGGGCCAGCTTCTGCTCCAGCTTTTTCCCATAGTCCTTCTTGGCCCTCCTGATCCTCCACTGGAGCTTGTGCTGGATCCTCTTCTGCTCCTCCCTGTCCCCTGAGATGAAAGGTTCAGGAGGGCTTTAAGCTCAGGGGTCACCCATGGGTGGTTGTTAGAAAAACACCGCACCTTCTTAGTTAGTACAGTGTTATCCACACAGAAGAGAATATTGTCTGTAATGCAGTGTGTCAGGCTCTCCATGTCCTCACCATGAGAGCAAACATCATTTCCCAATCAGTGTTTTGAAAACAATCTCTCAGCATCTCATCCACATCATCGCTCCACACTTTTACAATCCTCTTCTGCGCTGGATTTCTTCTCACCACTGGTGTGTATTCCGGAGACAGAGGGACCAGGCTGTGATCAGAGCGTCCGAGAGGGGGGAGGGGGGAGGAGGCGTATGCGTCCCGCACATTAACATACAGTAGATCCAGAGTCTTATTGCCACGAGTTGGGCACGTGACATACTGTTTGAATGTCGGGAGAGTGGCGGAGAGGGAGGCGTGGTTAAAGTCTCCGCTGATCAGAATCAGAGCGCGGGGACTGCGGGTCTGGATCTGGGTCACAGTTCCATACGATTGATATATTTGCTATGGCCCTCGTTTGTGCGTTTGAAGTTATTTTGAAGGTGTGAAGATGATGACATGTCTGGGAACGTGTCTTAAATTCAGACAGAAGACATGTTTTATTGTCGATGGTTGAGACAGCACGAACAACACGAACAACAGAATGCAAGTGTATTATACAGAGCGTTGGCATGGAGACCTCCAATCAGCAGCTGCCACAGTGCCATGTAGCTTGGCCTTCAGATAGACACAACAAGGGAAAAGTACTGGCTTCTGCACATTGATAGAATGATGAGTTTAACTTTAACAAAAGTTGCTTCAAAGTGAAATCTCACAGGTGCATTGTGTCACTGTAGGTGAAGTTACAACACAATGACACAATGGGCTGCATTTGGCTCGAAGGCCTCAGCTTGGACCTGCTGTGGCCGATCACCTCTCACCTGTGTGTGTGTGTGTTCAAATTTTTAGGTTCAGGTGGAAAAGATAAAGAATCCAGAGGAACACATTGGGGCAGTGCTGGAGAGAGCGAAGCCAGAATACATTCAGAAGACGTATCGCATCCCCACATGGAACTCCGCGGAGGACTTCTTGGAAAAGCTGGCCCAGCGGATGGGGAAACTGCTGAAGGTGGATATTGTTCACTTCTCTTTCCTCATAATAATAATAACAACGATGTGATGTTAAAAACAGAACAGAGACGTGTCTTTCCCGGGCACATGTTTTCAAAACCCTAATGTTTTATTGTTCAGGGCGGCGAACCAGATCTCAGCACGGTCTCCAAAATGGTGCTGAACGATTGGCAGAGAGGGCGAATTCCCTTTTTTGTCAAGCCTCCCGGACCCGAGGGAGACGAGGTGAGCTGAAGAGCGGATAACAGCGGCTAGGCTAATCACATGTCTTTGTTATCGCTAGGCTAATGTTACCAAACTTTATTTATAGACTCATAACACAGCATCACACAAACACATCACACAAAAAGCCTGAGAAAAATCAGGGTTCTGTCCCAATCTATATTTTCATTTTAAGATTGTCAAATGATTCATTCAATTCAATGTATTTTCTGTATTGCCCTAAATCACAACAATCGTCTCGTTGGTGAATCAACTACAAAATGGCAGCAACAGATCAGAGAATCAAACACAGAAAATGCAATAATTACAAACACAACTGAGATGTTGATCCATGGGGAATAATAAATGTCCCTAAATGTCGCGGGTCATCATTGATTCTTAAATTCAGAAGGACAACCACAAAGACACAATGTCCTCTGGTTGACGGCTGTTTAGTGCTCAATACATTGTCTCTTGTTAAAGGTTCCCCCATCCCCTCATATGGGCTCTTTTGAAATCCTTGTGTTTCAATTGTTCGATTCTCTGACCTGTGTTTGCGAATCGACAGCTTTGTAAAGTCCTCTGAGTTGAAAACTGTGATATAAAAATGGTCGGCACTTGATCATACGGAATTGGGACGGAAGCGGACGTAACAATCCTTCTTTTGAATTAGTTTTAGACTAATACGTCCTTAAGTGGTGACTGGTTAAGTTTTAGGTGTCTGAGTAAGATGGTTAAGGTTAGGGTTAAGGTGGTCTGAGTAAGATGGTTAAGGTTAGGGTTAAGGTGGTCTGAGTAAGATGGTTAAGGTTAGGGTTAAGGTGGTCTGAGTAAGATGGTTAAGGTTAGGGTTAAGGTGGGTCTGAGTAAGATGGTTAAGGTTAGGGTTAAGGTGGTCTGAGTAAGATGGTTAAGGTTAGGGTTAAGGTGGTCTGAGTAAGATGGTTAAGGTTAGGGTTAAGGTGGTCTGAGTAAGATGGTTATGGTTAGGGTTAAGGTGGGTCTGAGTAAGATGGTTAAGGTTAGGGTTAAGGTGGGTCTGAGTAAGATGGTTAAGGTTAGGGTTAAGGTGGTCTGAGTAAGATGGTTAAGGTTAGGGTTAAGGTGGTCTGAGTAAGATGGTTAAGGTTAGGGTTAAGGTGGTCTGAGTGAGATGGTTAAGGTTAGGGTTAAGGTGGTCTGAGTAAGATGGTTAGGGTTATGGGTGGGTTGGGGTAATTCTATGGGAATGGCTGGTTAAGTTTAGGCATGAATCTATTAGTTTCTGTAGTTGGTTATATTTACTTCCCGATATTTACCGGCCTTATTCCGTATTTGATCTAGTGCCAACTATACAAAAATCCATTGAATTGAATTGACTTGTCGCTATTATTTCCTGGTCTGAATATTTTCCATGATTTTCCATGATTTGAATTTGTTTAGGACAAGGCGCCTTTACTGATCGAAGCGCCTCCAACCGCAGTGACCGTTGCGCTGGAGGAACAGCCGGACAGCGGAGAGGCCGGACAGGACGAGCAAGCGAAACACGAGCAGAGGAAGAAGGAAGATGTCAAAAAGATGCTGGCAAACGTGCGGCAGAACTTTGGCAAGATCCACGTGGCGCCGGAATTCAACGAGGAGGACCTGGTTCCTGTGGAGATGCCCGACCTGGACATGGGCGACTTCTCAGGCTCAGAGGGGGAGGGGGAGGAGGGGGAGGAGGAGGAGGCTGAAGAAGGAGGCAACGACAAAGAACCTGGCAACGCAGGAGAAGCAGAGGGTTCTTCCACCACCGCGCCCGGCAGTAAAGGCTCGCGAGAAGTCATACGAGAACTGGACGGAAAGATCGCAAAGTACAAGCAGTTCCTGGACCGCGCCAAGTCCAAACGCTTTTCAGCAATCCGGTCAGTGGGCACTAGGACTACAGCCTCTTCTAGGGCTGCATGACTTTAAATGAATATCTATCTCCAATGTTTCAGATTAACAATGCAATTATACATTTGGATTTTCTTTCTCTTTTATACTTTTTTTTTTTGGCCTTTAGAGTTCAAATGGTGAGAATGTCATAGTTCAAAAGCATAACAAGGCAACAATTATAATGCTAAGGAAAAGATTACACTATAAAAAACAATAACAAATAATAATAAATGAAAAATGTATGTATAAAAAAAGAAAAAAGATTGATAAATAACGATAGTACTATTAAAAACCTAGAGGTAAAAGAAAAGATAAAAGCATTTGTACACACTTGCATACATTAATGTATTAACCCATATCCCTACACACACACACACCTGCCCCATGTGTATGTAGAGGCGCGTGACACACACATGGATTTTATTTTTAGTTATGTTCAAAGAGCACTAGAAGAATCCAAATTTGACCAATTAAACCTTAACCATTTAATTAGATTGACTTTTAAAGAATTAAAGGTAGCTAAGACTGGACCATGAGCCTAAGCACCACCATATCTAGAATATTCGGACCTTTTTTGACATTTGCTCTAATCATTGTGGTTCTATGCCTGTTTCAGAGCTCCAAACCCAGGGGTAGCTAGATTTATATCATAGGAAAACAAACTTCTGGAAAGGAATGGATTTCGTGTAAATAATTGAGTCTTTTGGCTAATTGTGGCCACTAGAATACCCAGAATTAGCCAATCGCAAACGGACACAAATGTATGTTCTTTTGCCCAGAATTGTGGCAAAACAGATTCGGAAAAGTCTTATATTTCACTGACCAATACCCGGAACTAGCCTGTGCTGGATTACTAATGTTTTTTGTGCATCAATCAGAAAGTCTTTGTACTGTCGGTGGTCTATCGGTTCAGTCGCTGAGCTTTTCCAACCAGTGTCATGTCGAAGGCCGATCTGTAAACTGCAAAACCAATGTCAATTCGTAGTTGTATTGTTTTCTTTGACATTTTAGGGATTTGAAATGGATTTAGGTGATTTCCTTGTTTGGTCATGCTCGATTGTGTTTTCCTCTGGACAGGATTCCCAAGGCCCTCTCCGACAAGGCTTTTGCGGATATGAAGCAAAAACACGAAGCAGCTGAGGCCGCGAAGCAAGCTCAAAGAAGAGGTATTTTTTTCATTTAGACTTTCATATATTTTAGAGTCATTACACACAACTGAAGTAGTTCAAGCCTTTGTTTTAATATTGATGAATTTGACAAAAATACAAAAGAAAAACCAAAAATCCCTACATGCTGCTGTGTAAGGAGGTAACATCTGTAATGTTTTATTTTTATTGCAGCACGAAATAACAAGAAGAGGAAGGCAGACGACGATCCTGCTGGAGCACCCAAAATGACATCAAAACAGGTAAAGAAAGTGTATTAAATGTGTTTTTATTTAATTTTATTTTTTTTAACCATGTCCAGAAAATATCCTTGTCCCTTTTTTGTTCTTGTCTCCATAGAAAAGGGCAGTGGAACGAGCAAAGAAGGACAAGAAAGTGGGCGTGCGCTACTATGAAACGCACAACGTGAAAAACAAGAACAAAAACAGAAAGATTCCAGCATCTTCTACAGAAGGCCATAAAGCCAAAAGATCAAAGCACTAGACTGGATCATATACCACACATAAATCTTTATTTAATTCCGCATTGGAATTTTAACCAGTCAAAAAAGGGGTCTTTGTGATGACTTAATTTCTCTGTGAGCAAGAGGACTTTAAACAAACCTGGCAAGCCTTAAAGAAACAGCCTTGTTAGAGACGTTTTGTGATATACAGTATGCAGATCTTACTGTAACGACACCATGATGTAATGTTATTGTCTGAACTGTATTTGGTAATAACAGTAAAATAATATTTCTGAAGTGATTTATTCCAGTGTCTTAAAAAATGAGTGTAGTTATGAATTTTCTAATTCAAACCTGATGAATTAGTCCATTTGTCGTCTTTCCCTCTCGCCTTTTAAACTACCCTCTTATTTTTTTTTTTTTTTGTGTAACGTTTAGCTCTACTGTTCATAAACTATCGGTCTAAAATCCTGCTAATCTTTCTTAATTTCACTGATCTTGTTGAGAATGACATAGACTGCTCATGTCACCCACAGTGTTTCCTAATTGCAGAAGAAGCTGATTAGAGGTGACTCAAAGGGTTGAAATCTGGAGGCAAATTTGGACTTGTCCAGTTTCAATTAAATGTACTTCGTGTATAGCCCTAACTCACAACAGTCAGTTATCTCAGAGGACTTAACAGAACCGTTGAAATCGCCCCCACCTCACATCTCCACAAAGACTCCAACAACAATTCAAAACTTCATTACCAACAATTATAATCTTTTCTGGCTTAAGTTCAAACACTCAGATGGGGAGAAACCCCATGGCTGTTAATTCTTTTATTTTAATACAAGCCAGAAACGTGACACTAACCTTGTATTAAAAGTAAAACTGTCAACCAGTGAAATTGAAACCATTAAAAGCCTATTGTCAAATTACTAACATTAACCACCTAAAACACCCAACTAAAACAACCTAGTACCAATGTTCTAATCTAAAAATAATATACCAATACATAAAGGTTCAAGCCTATCCCTTCATTAATAACCTGAACCACCTAATAAACCCCTTACACCTACATCTCACTCCATTCCTATAGAACCCATTTTCTCTGTGTAATAAATAAATCTAAAAGAAAATTTATAACATCCTAAATAAAATTTCATAAATACTAAACTATCTCCTCCAAATAACCATCTCCCTCTTTTCCCCTTCATTCTACCTTCTCTTACATAACATTCTTCTAATCTTTATCTCCTTCTTTACTAAAACATCACTCTCACTTATTCTTTTCCTCTACCTACTTTCTCTCAATCGCGTTTGGTCTGAATCGCACCATTAGCGGTATCAGGATGGGTCAAATGCAGAGGATCGAATTTCCCTACAGTGATTTGATAAAAGTGCACGTTTACCTTTACCTTAGTGTGCACACTGTGCAAATATAAAATACAAGGTAATAATTGCTTAATAAAGTGTTTTAAAAAATCTTTTTTGAGGACATTCTGACATCTTGCCAATGGGACAAAAAGCATATTACACTGCTCTTATTCTCTATTCAATTCAATTCAATACTTTTATTTCGGACACATATAAAAAAGTGACCATAATAGATGACATATAACGACAAGAAAAACAATACAAGTTAAAGGATAAGTCATTTCCTGTATAGGGTCTCTGAAGCCAGAGAGCCTAAATGAGAAATAACGCACTGAACTCAACCTGGTTTGGTCAATACAGCGATGATGCTGTTGACAGAGTGGGACAGTCTGCACATGCACCCTGTACATGAGATTGCGCAGTACGAAGCATGGAACAAGTGGGCACACCTGCATTACAAACATGTCACTCGGCACTGCCACCAACGTGGGAACCCGCAGCAGCATACCGCATGGCATCATTGTATGCCACAGATAGTTTTTTGCAGACTGCTCTTTTAATAGCACCTCCACAAGCGTTTTTAAACAATTGTAAACCGCTTTGATACTCATATCTGCAGTGAAAAAGGCGGTAATAAATAAAGATTACTATGCTAACTTACTTACTGCCCCTGTCGTCTGATAATCAGCAGACATGTAATGCCCGCAGGTAATTACATTGCAACGGGACACACTCATTCTTTGCCCTACAGAAGAAAAACAGTGAACGACAGCTAATTCCAAGGAGACATATTCTGCATCTTTAAAACCAAGGTTCATGTTTCTTCTCCCATTGTTTGAAAGACACATTAAAACACACTTTACTTATTTGTTAACCACCTTTGCAGTGTGAGTTCATTTCAAAGCATGCCCAGAACCTTTGGTGTGACCTGAGATGAATTCACCGTCCAGTGTTGTGATTATTATTACCGTCTTATAAAATTGTTTAAGGATAGATTATGTAACCTGACAAAAATAATATTTTAAGGATATGTTTCCAAAAGTTCATTGTGTATTGCAGGAACCCAAGACTTGGAAGGTGAATGGGTATACAGTACTCAGTTGGTAGAAGCATTGGCCCTTTGGCCCAAAGGTCTTGAGTTCGAGCCCGACCACGGGACTCTGCTCCACCTACTCCGCACTTGATGCCTGCTGTTGTTGTGTCCTTGGGCAAACACTTAGCCTATAAGGAGCGCGGATATGAAGTTCGCTGCAGCCTTGATGTTTATGACTATATGTTTATGCAATCAAACTGAAATTTCCCCATGTGGGACGAATAAAGGACCTTCTTCTTCTCTTACGTTGCTTCAATAGGCGGACTAAAGACTGCACTTGTTGCCAGGTACAGCGTTATATAGATGCTTTGAACAGCCAAAAATGTAGTTATTGTTATGGAACTAACGAGTGGGGCAGGTCGATGGCCTCAGCTTTGATATCTGGACCAGACAGGGGCCTTTCTGTGTGTGATGTTCAGTGTAGGATTTCCTGTGAGTGCTCCGTTATCCCTAAACCTCTAAAAACATTTACAACGATCCAGTGTAGCAGGTGCTGTCACCCCAGTGTGTTGGTCCTCGTGAGAAGGATTTCATCACATGGTAATACTAAACGAAAGAGCCATGAGAAACAGTAGAAATCTGACTATTCAGATTTGTATCTCTAACTATTTAATGTTTTGAGTTTTGGTAACACGATGTATATGAGATTATTTCAGAATGCAAATCTTAAACACTTGTATTCGGCACAACCTTATTTCTAATGGTGGTTTTTTCTTATAGTTTACGTGAAAGAATAAAAAAAGTATAATAATATAACATACCAAAATTCAGTGCCCTCCGTCTCTTTTTGTTTTTATTTTTGCATTTTTATATTGTATAGTTTTGTTTTATATATGCTTAACATGTGTTAGGCCAGAGATGGGGACAACATAACATATGTGTTTTTTGAAAAATTAGTAAAGAAATACCGACAACACCTTTAAAACATACAGTACCAGAGCAAAATGTTTTGACACCCTTTCAAGAAAGGACAACTCAGTGAAGCACTGAGTGTCCTTTCTTTTCATGACTAATGCTGTAGACCCACACCAGGCTGTGTAAGGGGCTGTTTTTTTGACCAATAAAGGGAGGGAGTGGATGGTGCTGGCCACAGACCTCCAACAGTCACCGGACCTGACCCAGTCCCAGATGGTTTTGGACCTGTGAAGCCCAGTCCATATGTTTGGGGGCAGTACTCACAGAGTGAAGGGGCCAACAAGTGCTAAGCATCATGGGAACTCCATCAAGTACTGTTTGAATACCAATTGTCAGGTCCCTGTTGAAGCTCCATATCCCGAGAATGCCGAGAGTGAAGCATATCAGAAGCAAAAGGAGCTGCTTTGAAGAACGCAGTAAAATAGACGACCATATTTTTCACTTGTTTCATACTTTGTTATAGTACGTACATATTCCACACGATTCATTCACAGTTTGATGCCTTCAGTGTCAATCTACAATTTTTCCATAATTATTAAAATAAAAAAACTATTGGAATGATAAAGTGGTGTACCAAACTTTTGGGTCTGGCAATTTTAACTGATAGAGACATACATATCAACGACAAACACACACACTCGCAGAGGACATACATACAAACACAGACACACACACTCATTGCGCATAACATACAAAGACCATTCGTTGCCAACTTTAGCGACTTTGTCCGCTAGATTTAGCGACTTTTCATACCCTATAGCGACTTTTTTTTTTCAAAAAAGCGACTACGACAGATCTAAGACAAAGTCAATAAAATCATTAAATGTTGTTAATGTTGAAATAATTTTTGTAACATTGTAGTTCTAAACATATTTACGGGTTTTTTTACCTCACCTTAGTCTCTCCCACTACGTTATTCCTCTCTCTACAGCTCCGTTACAGTAATTTGCAAATTGCCAATTATGCAAATTATGCGCATGACGTCATTTAGAGCGACTTCTAAGCGACTTTTGGGACAGCCAATAGCTACTTTCCTTACTGAGAGTTGGCAACACTGTGACACAGAACATACATACAAAGCACAGTCACACACACACACACACACGTATACAACGTTTATTTGTTACCTGTTGGGGTCCCGATTGACAGGCCTACAGAATGGTGAAACCATGAGACATAAACTTTTTTTACTGGGACTACTTAAGTAATACAAAAACATCAATAGAAAACAACAACTCCTTTAAAGGAATTTTTAGATTAATTTTCGATTTGAAGTGATTCTATTTTTGACATAGAATTAAAGCCACTCCATGTCCGATGACTAGAGTCATCTGGTGAGGCATTAATGCAGGCCCAGGCGTGAGACTCCCCAGATCCCCTTGATCTGCTTAGACAACCTCACGTGACCTCATCTTGATGCATTGCCAGAAATAAAGACCACAGCTTTTTGCCTGATCCCTCCCGGTACAGGCTGGGACCCTGACTTATACCTTGTTTAGTCTGGAGCATTTTTCTGTGAAAGCCGCACCAGCCACATGCCCCACTAGCGACTATTCGTTTAGCAATTCCCCACAGTAGTGATGTGCGATTCGTGAACGAATCGTTCAAAACTCGAGATTCACTTTAACTGCACTCGGGAGTCGGTGATTCCCCGCCTCCATTAACTCTTCACCA